AGAGACAACAAATAGACACCGTCTATCTGGCCTACTACTCCTTACTTTCGTATAATCTTCCAGCCTCACAGCACATAAACGACTGTTAATAGGAATCCAGTAGAGCAATGTAGCTTCGGCTCTAGCGCTCAGTGCTACACTGATACCAGCTACACCGGATGCCGACGCCACAGGGTCCCCGGACAAGCACAGGTGATACATACTACTAGAGCTTTCAGATGGAGAGGATAATCGAAGCACTTCACTGGGATCTTGAATGCGGGTCTCCGAAATACAGCACACATCGATAGCGAGGCTTTCCAATGTTCTTACAACCCTGACTGTTGTCCGATTCGCATCAGCGTCCGAACATTGTAGGTGGCCAGCTTGAACGCGGCACGCGGTTTCAGGATATCTGTGTTAGATGTCGCATCGGGGACAACCATTTCGAAGGCTACTCACTAGCATCTCGAAACGGCACAGATAGGCTGGGAATCCAGACAAAGGTGAAAGGCTGTCGAAGGTGAAGAAGTCAAGGTTAGCAAAGGTAAAATACAGGAGTCTATGTATAAAAATAAAAGTAAGGTTGGACATAAGTTGTTTGAGGGATCATTATTGCTTGAAATCATTTTTACTAGCGCGCGATGAATTTCAATGACAGTTTGTTGTTTTACTTCATTTGTTGTGTGAGGGGTGAGATACTGCCCGAGCGCCCAGACCGAAGCAGGTGGTTTTCTTAGGGGACCACCCCGGAGCCTTTGACTTGGAGTCTAGTCTGCAAGGCAGCGTCAGGAGCTGCACTCCCATGGTTTCCGGTGACCCATATGGGTTCACATGCCATTTGATCCGATTGGATTCTGGAGCCCATGTACCCCATAGTAACTGCTTTTAGTTTAACCGCTATCCAAACAACCTTCCTGACATGGTAGGACCTGCAGGAACATGAGTCCCAGCCAGTTTAGCTTGTTGGGTCACTGTGGTATTCAAGACCGACCACCACGGCAAGGTAGCAGTTGTCGGCCGGGTTGTTTAAAAGAATTACTACTGAGATGTACACTCAGTGTACAATTCACATTCAACGATGTTATTTACAGACAACAAGATGGGATCGCAATGAGATCTCCACTGGGCCCATAACTAACAAACTGCTTCATGGCAAACCTCGAGAACGGCCCACTCAAATCAACTACTGACAATTTTCAATTGTATGTTAGATATGTGGACGACATCTTTACTATCTGTGATGACGGTCACGATCTCAATCAGTTACTACAAATATTCAATAAATGCCATTCAGCGACAAAGTTCACTCTTGAAATTGAAAACGAATCTAAAATCCCTTCTCTTGATGTGGAACTTACAAGGAGAACTGACGGAAATTTAAGAAGATCCATCCATAGGAAACCCACATGGAACGGCCAACTGACAAGCTTCTACATCTGGGTACCAATCAGTCGAATAAGAAACCTAATTAGACGTCTTGCCACTCGCGTCCGACGCATCTGCAGCTCTGATACCCTGGAAGAAGGAACTACATTTCCTGAAAGAAATCTTCATGCAAAACGGTTATCCATCAAGATTCGTAGACAAAAACATCAAACAGAAAATCCAAAAGCAAGAGACACCATCCGTGCCAAAAAAGATACTTTATATGAACCTCGACTTCAAAGGTGACCTACTCAGTGATGTCCTTAGGAGGAGAATTTCCACTTCTTTAAGAAGAACTTTCTTTGCGTCAACATTGAGAGTAGTGTTCTCCAGTCGCCCGCTGATCTGCAGAAGCCCAAAGGACAAGATCTCGCACCTGACCATTTCTATGTGTATATATCAGTTCACCTGTTGCTGTGGAGCCAGGTACGTCGGTCGTTCAACGCGCATCCTATCAAAAAGGGTCAAAGAACACTATCCAGCGTGGCTACAGAAAGGAAGTTGTGGCCCTATAAGGAGTGCAATAATCAAACATCTCGTCAACACTGGTCATTCCATCTCAACAAACGCCTCCTTCAAAGTAATCTACAAAGTGAAGAACAACCTTCCAAGGACAATACGTTTCCGTCTTTGCATTGCAGAAGCCATAGCCATTCAGTTGGAAGAACCAGAACTATGCATACAAAAGAAAATTATTCAACCACTTCTACTCTCATGGTAACATCTCCGTTGATTTGACTTAACTTTTGTCTGTATGCTTATTTTTCTAACTACTTAAAACCCTTGCGTAATTCCGTATGTTATTTTGTTTCCATTTTCACCCTGAGCACAACTCTTTCATCAAACTATTCACATTATTACGTAACTCTTCTGTGATAACCCTTTGTGACAACTCATCACTTTTGTTACTACCCTATTATATCAACATCCAATTCATCTGAGCTTACTAATTGTATTTTCGTTTGACAAATTTAATGTACACACACACACAAAACAAGCATATATATTTGCGATTGTACAGCTATGAAAATGAATTCACCAAACAGAGACTCTTCGCTGAACTACTGGTCTTCTGTCTATTAGCGTTCAGTATTTGCTTTGAGAAACATGCTAAGAACTTTCAGCAATGCCCACCGAAATATCATCTTTACCTTAGATGTGGTATCGGAGGGGATATTCTGTTCGGTGGACATCCAACTGCGAAGAGATGATTACTCTCGAAGGAGATGTGTACACCCAACAGATGAATGGATAGGACAGTTGATTAATTTTCGAAGTTTTGTCGGAATCTAATAGGAAAGAGGAAGCTCATCTGTTTTTACTTTCCTAGCACTTGGAAAATACGCACTAAGGAATCTGTTGATGAAGAGCTACAAAATCTCTAAGAAATTTTGATGGAAAATGACTTCATATCCAGACTCATGGACAATAGCCTGAGAGGAAAAACAACTGCTGTCCAGGTCGCCTCCGAAATTATTCTACTGTTAAGCCTCCAATTTAAAACTTATAATTAGGCGGAAATTCCCCGGAAAGGCTTTTCCGAGTTTGTGAGGAAGACATAGTTGACTGGTAACCTAATAACAACATTTTCTTGCAAGAAACAATTCGGTCAGAATGTGAAGGACCAGCTGTCATATTGAGTCCCATTATCATGCATACATCAGTTCACTTGCTTTGAAGCAGATTAGCCGTACCACGCATCCGCTTGTAAAACGTTCGCAGGAGTACTATCCAGTTTGGATAGCAATAAGGGAGAGGCAGGTGTGTTTATTTTTGGGTTACAAAACATCCTGTGAACTCAGGACACTCAGCTCCCTTTGAAAAATCCTTCAAAGTGTATTCATTAGTCTATTCATTTGTTCTTGTGGATGAAAGTATATCCGCTGTGCATAGCGGACTGATTAGGTCATTTCTCAAACCTATTACTTGGTACCAACTTCCATATCATCTCTTTTTGTGCACTCACTTCTGGATGATCAAAGCTTAGGTTCTGTGGAGGATTTCCTCTAACATAATTACCCGTACTTGATTGCTTTTATGAATATCAATATATTGAATCTGATTACGATCGTGTGCTTTTTTGGAAACGATCCAACGAAAATGAAGTTTTTCTCGCTAGTGCGGCTTTTTTGTCCCTAAATAGGCAGAATGTAGTTAATTGTAAGGTGAACTTATTCTAAAACAATGCACGGGAAAAACAATTTTCTTCCTGGTGTATTAAAGTACTACTTATAACCGAGGGATAGATATGAAGAAATCGGATAGTTCTCATAGGCAGAACTGTAGGTGCGAAGTGTATTTAAGGTACCCCAACAGTATTCATAAGGAAATCCTTATTGTTGAACAGAGGTATCATCGATCTCAATTTATCAATGACAGACATGTGTTTTTTATCGACAGATTTTTAAGAGATGTCTTCTGATTTATTCAGAACTAAAATCACTCCATTTGGAAGTTAGATTATATGAGTTAGTTAATTCTTTCCTTCGTGACAGGAATAAATGCCTTCAATAGCCTGTCTGTCTGGATTCAACATAGAACTTGGCACCGAAGTGCACCAGTTCGAGTTGCCACGTTCCAAATAGCACACAGAGGTAGACAAGAAGATGAGTGAAGAGAATCAATAGAGTTTAACAAGTATAAGAGTGAAACAGAATGGGTAATGGTAGAAAGGAATATGAAAGATTACAGAGACTGAATACATCTGCGCTGGCCATTGACAACGATTTTGAGCCATGTCACCTATTGTCTCCAGCCATTGATTATTAGAGTCCCGAGGGCCCCAACCCGGAAGTCTGCATCTTCCTACCTGACTCAGTTTAGCTGTCAAGGATTTGATGGATTGATGACATGTTTTTGTTTGGCCACCACTTACTCTTTTCCAACCCGCACCTATATCAGCTAGTAATGCCCGTCGGGGGAGGCGATAGTTAGGCATGCGCAGCACGTGACCTAGTCATCTCAATCTATGCAACTTTATAGCCTCGTCGATTACCGTTAGATATAGTTCTACTTCAATAGTAGAACTAGATCTAACAGTATTTCTTTTTTGAAACAATATTTACTGATCCTGAGTTATGATCAACTGACTTGTACACATACATCAGAAAGGAAGGATAGAGCGTTGCCAGCCAGAGGTGGACTAGTTCGGTCATACCATGGCATGGTACCAATCCGGTTCACGAGGTCACTAACTTTCTGCCTGAGTTGTGTGGTTGTAGGTTTTCCCATAGAAGTCTCTACGAGTCAAGTGAAACTAACAGTTAAAGAACTTATGTAAAAGGACAAGTAGTCTTACGCAATGATACAAATACATACAGCATAATTGTATCACATTTTAAATTATCTTTTGAAGTCTTTTGTGGTAATAAGACCCCTAAAGATTTCGTCTTCTTGCCTATTACCTCTTACTCTACATGAAGATATAGGAAGCGGTTACCTAGACTACTGCATTGCACTCAAAATAATTATCTGGCTATCTTTCTCGGTTTCCTTAAGCTAAATGAATTTTAAAGAACTGACGTTGGTTACTATCTGGAATTTTTATGCAGAATTTTTTTAATATTTAAATGTACAGAAATATTTTTTCTTACCATATCATAGACATTCACAGTTACTGGACTTGAACCGGTACTATTAGCACTAGGTATTGTTGTTCCACTACCCACATTTGTATTGTATTGTGTTTCATGATTTTCTGATGTTGATGCTTGACTCGATGTAACACGATCTAATTTCATTCGTAGCTTTTCCCATAATCCTATTAATGGACTCATATTCTCCATTTATTTCTTCATTGTTGAAATATTCTAAACAATCAAATGTAATAACATGGATCAAGACATTATGTAAACAGTAACAATTGTAATAAAAGGAATGATTTTACACAGGAAAACATGAGTGCTCATTATTAATGCGTCATATGGGAAACGACAAGTGGGGCGTCCAAGGACGATATGAAGGAGGTCAGAGACTATGGGCAATTGTGGGACTAGCTGAAGAGGACAGCAGAGAATAGGATAAAGTAGACACGTGCTGTTGAAGCCCTATGTTCAACTTGGAACCCAAGGGAATAATAATAATTAGTAATGCCTGTGAAGAATTTCGAAACAGCCGTACTGTTGTCAATTACACAAAAACTAGTACAACGGCCATGGAGAATACATCTCACTACAAGAAATACCTAAAATCTAAGCAAATTTGAAAACAATAAGTGCATACGACAGTAACTAAGATCAGAAGAGAAGGAATATCTCTCGGTGTTTCTCGATTAAGGTTACATTTTATTATTCATGAAGAGAACAAGAATAATCTTCATTTATGAACTTGGAAATTCGCACAAATATGCAGCAGTTCAAGTTGATACACTTCATAAAGGTGCATAGAAAGATGGAGAAAGAAAACCCATGAAAACTGCAATGCACGAAAATGGGTGGAAAGAAAAATACATGAAGAACAATGAAGGCCTAATGGATCTAGAAGTCTATGAAGAGTGGATGTACCTGTACTGCTGAGAGCTATCTTCGGACATATTACCGACAATCTCCACCATTGATTTTTAGTATCTCAAGGATGCCAGTCAGATAACTTAAACCACCCAACGTGGCTCAAACCAAGAGCCGAAGAATTCATAGACTGATGTAATGTTTTGGTATGAATGCGCCTAAATCTTTGGCAAACATCGTTTGTCGGTGGAGCTGGTGGGTTTGTACGCATAATACGCCCTAGGCATTTTAATCGATACAGTTTCACAACCTCATTGACTGACTTTTCTTCCTAAAAGTCTACCCCTGACCTTACAATTACTGACCATACTGCTCCATGTAACATCGCAGATCTGATGGAAAAACAAACCTTGAACAAATTTCCATCACCTTCACATTCTAGGCGATCGAAATAAGATGTTATTACAGTGAAGCATGTCAACAGCTGCGATCCCATTCAGATGATAAGTTATTCATCCTAAAACACTGTTTTAGCTTTTCCTAACGCTGAAGAACAATGTTCTATATCACATGTGTAAGGGTAATATGCACGGAAAGTACAAATAATATAGTCCATCGAAAAGTCTTATCATACACAAATACATATCATTGATTACATATAACTACCATTTAAGTACGAGAAACATTCTGAATTCAGTGACAAAGAAACATAAGATTAGGTATTATAAGTCATTATATTTCTTGACCTAAAGGCAGCATTCGACTCTGTCGATCGAGAAGTTCTCTGGAGATGCTTGGCTGTAAAGGGAATTCCGAGAAAACATATTGCACTGATTAAGGAACTCTACTCGTACTCATACAGCCAGGTGAGGGCTTACGGCGAGCTGTCATCTGAACTGATGACGACTAGTGGTGTCCGTCAAGGATGCCCATTATCTCCTTTTCTATTCAACTTCATCATAGATGTGTTAATGGACTTAACCCTAGGTGACTTCAGCGACTCAGGGATTGACTTGCTACCGGGGAATAATCTCGTTGACTTGGAATATGCAGACGATATAGTCCTTCTAGGCGAAGACGCTGACGAAATGCAGATCCTTCTAAACACCTTGAGCCGCAATCTACGAATGTTTGGCATGCAGTTCGCTCCCACCAAATGCAAGATGATGTTACAGGACTGGACTACAGCGACGCCTAGTTTAAAAATAGGAAGTGAAGTGGTAGAGCACGTTGACCGCTTCACCTATTTGGGAAGTACCATCAGCCCCAACGGGCTGATCTCTGACGAAATCTCAGCACGAATACAGGGGGCTCGTTTCGCATTTGCCAGTTTACGCCGACTTTGGCGTAGACGAGATGTTCGACTATCGACCAAAGGGCGGGTGTACTGCTCATCAGTCCGCTCCGTCCTCCTTTAGGGCTGCAAGTGAGACCTGGCCACTGAGAGTGGAAGACATGAAAAGACTAGCTGTCTTTGATCATAGGTGCCTGCGTTCTATTTCCCGTGTAAAGTGGCATAATAAGGTGAGCAACATGGAGGTTAGGCGTAGAGTTCTAGGTAAACAGGGGAAATCAATCGACGAAGTCGTGAAGCTACAAAGACTGAGATGGTTAGGACATGTGTTACGTATGCCAAGTCATCGCCTCCCTCGACGAGCAATGTAAGCGGATATAGGGTCAGGCTGGAAAAAAGCTAGCGGCGGTCAAACAAAAACTTGGCAGCAGTTGATGAAATCTACAACAGTTAGTTTAAGCCAGCCACGTAGAAAGGTGTAGACTTCCAGGCTGGGGTCCTCGGGACGGTAAAAATCTATGGTTGGAAACAATTGGTGACATGGCTCAAAATCGTTCTCAGTGGCGCAGATGCATCCACTCCTTGTGACTTATGATCTCCAATGAAACTGTTTTGTATTTCTTTATTACTACTTTGTCTCACACCCCTGCTCACTGTTTCTATTATGCTTTTCTTGTACTTTCTTCTCTTGCTTCGCGTGCTACACGGAGTGTGGCGACTTGAACTTCCGCACATTTTTGCAAAGTTCTATGTCGAAAACAGACAGACAGACAGGTATTATAAGTGTTACAGAGATTTTGATTATAAAGCTTATTAATCATACGAATTTGTTGTCTACTATAAATTCACTTTTCAAATCTTTAAGGAGGTTTACATTGAAGCGTTTGCATGAGTACAAATTTATTTCGACCTTACAAATGTAATTTGTATCTAGTTGGGACACAGCATATAAGATAAAAGCAGTCTGTATGTCTTCAGTTGTAGGGAAACAAAGTATGTATCATTTTTGAGTTGTTAATAAGTTCCACATAGGCTTTTCTGCACACCTTAGATTTTAGTCTTTGAGATGCCCTACACACGTTTTACCTAGTCTAGATGAGGTGACGAAGATCGAAACTTGAATAAGTCTCCTTTTAATTTTCAGGTGTCCTAGAGGAACACATTTGTGAAAAATAAGTTTCTACGTCCCAAACATTACTTGTATTACGCTGATAGTTAGAGATAAAGATAATATGAAATGCAAGGTAGTGAAAAGGTTGTCTTTCACATACTAAGCCTACAGCCTATACTTGTAAATATAATGACTTTCCATAACCCTACTAATTGTCTTTAATTTACAAATTGCGCAGTTAATAAAAAGTTAACTTAGACTCTCCAAGAAATTATTTCAATACAGCCACAATATTAAGAGGCCGTAATCACAAGCCCAGCGGTCTATGATTAGACAAACAAGTCTTCTTTTGAGTACCGAAAGTGATGAGTTGACAGTTAATTGCTAGGACTATAATTGAACATACTGTAATCTGTAGTGCGATTATCGATTCTTACAGGGGATGTATTGTCCATTAACGTTAGCCCTTCGTCTCCAAACATGGTTGGACCCCACTGCAGTGCGTTCACACATACATCTTCCCTTTGACTTCAGTCCAATAAACAAAACAGTGAGTTATATATAGCTCAGTAGATACACGAATCTGCAGCATGAGAATATTACTTATTATATTTCCCATGATATTCAAGTGAGTGCTTACACAAATTCACCCAAAAATGTGAAATCTCTTGCATGTTGAAATGACATTAAGTTACACGTAGATCTATTGTCAGATCTGGAAGGACAATTGACCCGTAACAACATGGAAGACATGAATTGGGAGAAAGAGTTCATATCTTTTACCGTTCAAATATCGGTGGCAGGCACTTCTATATGAATTAGCTGGTTAGATAAATCACAGTCAAACAAATTAACATGGAATTACATATTAACAGTGCCTAAGTTTCACACATACTGATAGCAAGCAATACTGAAGTATACATAGTGAATAGTATGTTCAGCTTGCCATCTAAATAATGCAATATTTCAACCAAAACACATTCACCGAATTGCGAGTTACTCTATACGCTACAACACTAGAAAACTACGAATATATGTGGAAATGCTCGGGTGATATTTAATTAATTTTAATCAGATGTTAAAACCATTCCTCATTTTCTTGTTCCGAATCACTATAGTACATAAACATTTATGGTTCAAATATAAAAATTTATCCGCACACAGAAACACCAGCAGGAGAACTACTCACAAATAATACCAAAGCCCAAGGTCATTTGAAATTCGAAATGAAGACATGATCCAAAACTGTTTCCTCAACTACACACAAATGTAGTAAAAGCAACAAATGCTGATAAAAAATCTAGAAGCCTTTTTTCCTAAAATGTGACCAGCAGTAAAGTTTACATTAGTGCTTTGAACTTTTTTACAAGCTTCGGTGTTCTCAACCAAAAATATTATTCCAGTATCGAATATCATTTTGACAAGCTAGTGTAAACCAACTTTGTTTCTTTTTGCTCGCTTCTTGATCGTGAGGTGAAGGTTCTTGGTCTTGGGTAAACTTATGCGTAGTTCGTCCCGCCACTCGACCGTCTCAGTTGCGGTTGACTCCAAATGTAGTGGTGCTGGGATAATTATGTTGTTTGTGTTATACGGTGTGTTAAGCCTTTGTACTGCAGTGAATGGAGTTGATCCTTTCACCAGTTAGTACTCCGGTATCGCGGTCAAAAAAAGGATAATAATAAAAAATATATAATTAGTGTAGGTTATTCAGACTAAAAGACAGAAAAAGAAATAAAGAAAACATAAAAACAGACAGCTGACTTAATTTGAAGTTGACATACGAAAATATATACGAATATAATATCGATAGTAATAATAATTTTAATGAATGTAAGTGCAGCGGTATACATGATTTCAAGGGGGTGGGCCATTTGGATGCAGTCCGCGTGTCGCTGCATGATTGTCCATCCCTCGTTTAAAGCTGCCAAAGAAGGTGCCGTATTTACATCTACCATTTGGCAGCACCAGGGAAAGCGCACTCAGAGTGAAAAGAAGTGAGGGTTCACCCTAGTCTCTGCCCTCTGGTGAGCTGTCCTTCTGGGATTTACACGAGGAAGCCCATACGTACCTAATGGAGGGACAACTCTGTTTGTTGGATTCTGGCCATTTGCTTTTTTTGAAGGCAGTAATCAAGTCCATCCTGAGCCGACTATAGATGAGTGTGAATATGACTAATTTCTTTAGCCTTTCACGACACGGTTTCTTTCATAATCCCATCAACCCTTTGTCGCCCATCCAAAAAGGCTAGAGTTTCTTCTAAAAAGTTGGAGGGCAATGTTATTGTGCGCTTCAAGGTGTAGTCTGACGTATGTTTTGTACAACTTTAGAAAGAGCCCAGGGGTGAACGCACTAAACTGTTTGTGCGCAAAGTGTATAGCTGCATATGATCTTGCCAAATCACTTGTATTTACTTGTTCTGTTAGAGCTAAACCGAAGTCGCACCCTGACGTTGTGCAGGACACGTTTTAGTTGCACTGGGTGTAACTTACATTCCGCAGCCTACGGGTGCGTAGTTGCACTACACTGCGGTTTTCAGGCTGAAAGTCATGCCATTAACTACCGCCCAGTCTTCCAGAGGCTTTAGTTCTTCCTGCAGCCTACCTGGGTCTTCCGAACACTTTATTGCTCTCCGCAACTTAACGTCATCAGTGTGTAGAATGGTCAGACTGCTTAGACGGCATGATAGGTCATTGATAAAAGTCAAAAATATTATAGGCCCTAGGACAGCACCAAGCGATAATCCTGATGATGAATTGCGCCAAGATGATCAGACTCTACTGACGTTAGTGCAGAATCTCCTTTCATCTAGGTAGCCCTCCAACCATGACAGAAGCTGCCCACCTATGTCTGCCTGATTCATTTTGTGTAAGGGAATGCTATGCTGAACTGTGTCACATGATTCCCTAAGGTCGAGGAACACCGCATAGATGGGAACACTCTTGTCCCAGAACGATGTCCGACCATTCCAAGCTGACAGTAGTTTCCATGATATTAGATAGTTGGAGGCGACCGGCAAGAAGCCTTGCACGATCTGGGTCTCATGCTAGCCGGCACTCGTCAACAAGGCGTATCTGCAACCTTGAAGGGACTCATGTCCCTTCTGAGATTCGAACCCGCGTCACCCAGTGCTGCAGTCAGAGAAGTTACCACCTACTCAATGGCAGAACACCTTTGTTTGGGTGATTCTGGTCATTTGTTATTTTGTAGGCAGTAATCAAATCCCCCCTAAGCCGACGGTAACTAAGTGTGAACAGGCCTAATTTCTTCAGCCTTTCATCATATGGTTTGTTTCGGAGACCAACCACTCCTTTTGTTGCCCGTCGTTGGACTCTTTCCAAGAGGTTGGCATCTCTTCTCAGCATTGGGGGTGCAATAATATTATGCACCTCAAGGTGTGGCCTGACGTATGTTTTGTACAACATTAGAAAGAGCTCAGGAGTGAGTGCACCTAACTGTCTATGCGTAAAGTGTATGACCGCATATGCCCTCGCTACATCCCCTGTGTAATTTACGCTTGTGTCCATTTTTTCCGTTAGAACTAGACCTAAGTCGCGTTCCGACGTTGTGCAGGACAAGCTTTCATTGCACAGGGTGTAACTTGCATTCTGCAGTCTACAGGTGCGCAACTTCACTACTTTGCACTTTTTCAAGTTGAAAGTCATGCCACTGGCCACCGCCCAGTCTTCCAGAAGGTTTAGGTCTTCCTGTAGCCTATCTGAGTCCTCCGGACACTTTATCGCCCTCCATATTTTTACGTCGTCAGCGTACAGGAGAGTCGGGCAGCTCAGACGGCGTGGTAGATCATTGATGAAAATCAAAAACATCAGTGGTCCTAGGATAGAACCCTGCGACACTCCTGATGACGATCTGTGCCAAGATGATCGGACTCGGTTAACCTTAGTGCAAAATTGCCTGTCGGCTAGGTAGTCCTTCAACCATGACAGAAGTGGCTCACCTATGCCTGCCTGGCTTATTTTATGTAGGAGAAGGTCATGGTGAACAGTGTCAAATGCCTTCTCAAAGTCTAGGAAGACCACATGGACTGGTACGTTCAAGTCCCAGCATGATGTCCAGTCGTCCCAAGCTGACAGTAGGTTAGTGACGCAGGATCTGCCTTTTCTGAAACCATGTTGGGCTTCATGTAGTATATTAGTCCTATCGAAATATTCCCTGATGTGGTCGTCAATAATACTTTCCAGTACTTTTGATACCACTGGGAGTAGAGCTACTGGTCTATAGCTAGCAGCGTTTTGCCTGTCCCCACCCTTGAAGATTGGAGAAAGGATGGCTCTTTTCCACTCCCTTGGCAGGGTCCCCGAATCCATTGAGTGTTGGAACAAGTCGCACAGGGGTCTACAGAGAGCCTCGGCGCACTGTTTCAGAACAGATGGCCTGATGTCATCACAACCTGGGGACTTCCCAGGTATGAGTCGCTGTAGCTTCCTTAGTACTATTGCGGGGTTTATTTGGGGAGTAGTCGCTAGGTCTTCCTCCTCTGAAATAGTGGTGCCACCATTTTGGTCCGTAACTGTAATATCCACATTGCTGTTTAGCTGTTTAGCGAAGGCTGAACTGAATGTTTCAGCCATCTCCAGACTAGTGAGATATTGACCGTTTGGGCCTACTAAGGCGCATGCCCCTTGGTTTGTCGGTTTTCTTTCCGACATGAATCGGTACAAGTTTTTAGGGTTTGATAGGAGTTTTTTAGCAAGGTTAGCCTGGAATGACCTTCTGTCCCTCCTGACTCTTGCATTACACCGGTTCCTGAGTTCGAGGTATGCATCATGGTCGGTCTGACTCTTAGATACACGCCACGTAAACCAAGCCTTCCGCTTTGCTTGCAGAATACGTTGCGTGCCTCTCTTCAACCATGACGTCTTTCTCTTGGGCTGTGTTGTGACTAAAGGGACGGTATCCGAGATTGCTATATGGATAATCTTTTTTACCACTTCCCAGTGTTCATCCACAGATAGGTCGTCCCATGCTAAGGGCCAGTCTGCGTCGGACAAGAGCCTCCGCATTTCAGCATAGTCAGCCTTGCTGTAGCACAGACATGGTCGCGTAACATCCCATTGCAAACGCTCACGGAGGACAAGATCGAAACCTATGACTGCATGGTCACTGCTTCCCAGAGGAGTCATGATCTGGACCTTTTCGACGAGTAGCTGGTCACTAGTTAGAATATAATCTAGTTTTGATGACTTTCCACTAGGGCCCCACCTAGTGTCGTCTCCAACATTCTCAGTCAGTCCCGTGTTTCGAATAGTTTGCAGTAGGTTTCGGCCAAATTTTCCCTTAGCACACCCGGAGCCGAGGTTCAGTGATGGAGCATTGAAATCTCCAGCTATGGTGATTTGGTCGTAGCCCAAATCTCGTATTCCTGTGATAGTGCTGAGCAGTAGCTGATTGTGCTCTGCCCCACAGGTGGGAGATCGGTAGATGCCACCCAGTAAGTGCTTGGTGTGGCCTACGGTGAAATGACACCATATGGAGTCTGGGAGTTCGATAAGTGGTGGGTCCGTTGCGCGCACACATTTAAGTTGCCTATCAAAGTATATAGCAACTCCCCCTCCTTCCTTATTATCCCTGTCTCTCTGACCAGTACCATATCACCTATACTGATTTCATTGTCGGCGATAGTGGGGTTTAGCCACGTTTCAGTGAGAATGATTATTTTCAGTTGAAGGTGTGCTTGGAGATTTCGGAGTTCACCTACTTTTCCTCTCAGCCCCCTCACATTGCTATATAGGCAACTGACAGTGAGTCTAACAACCTCAGAGTGTTGTGGGGTAGTTGACGTGAAACCGTCTGCTGGTGGGGGACTTAATGTTGGAACTAGTTGGCCGATTCCGATAGAACCGGCCCGTTGTAGTTTTTCAATGGATTTAGGCAGGACACTTGGGTGACATAGACTGTTATTCTCAGAACTGCATCGCTCTAGTGTCACGGAAGCTTGGGGACGTATTAAAGTCCCAGTTTGCCGCCTCCTTATATTTCTGGGTCTGCTTTCACAGCATCGGATGTGTCCTCCAATTTTTCCCTTGGTCTCATACCACCGTTGAAGTGATATGGACAACTGCTCCGGGGAGTTGAATGTGACACAGCAGCTTTGGAGAGTTAATCAATGTTAGATGAGCGGGACGAGGTAGTCGGAAAATGGAGATGGCTCCAGAAGCGCCAGGGGCCATCTGAGATGACAGCCATCTCCATTGTTGTACGTCGTGCATGTGTTTTTCACAAGCAGTGCCGGTTTCCA